TGTAATCAGCATTTACTCGAATAACAGCTTCTCTTAAGATCAAAGCATAAACTAAGGTGGGCTATGGTTGCAAAATACCAACGTGTATCTCTCAGATTTCTGATCTATTTTTAAAGAGAATATTTGCGTAACCACTGCCACGGAAAAAAAAAAAAATAATAATAATAATAATAAAATATATATATCCTGTCCTCCTTGCGCCGTTTCCTCCATGTTTCTGTAGGACTCTTCTCCCTCTGGGTATTAATATTCCTGGTTCTTACTCCAAAATTTTCCACCATTGGCTGAGGCCTTTTGTTTCAGTCTCAGTTAGGTTTTCTTATGCTTGATGTTAAAAATATATATATCCTGTCCTCCTTGCGCCGTTTCCTCCATGTTTCTGTAGGACTCTTCTCCCTCTGGGTATTAATATTCCTGGTTCTTACTCCAAAATTTTCCACCATTGGCTGAGGCCTTTTGTTTCAGTCTCAGTTAGGTTTTCTTATGCTTGATGTTATGTTTAGATATTTTTCAGCACTTATGATTATTGTGGCTGACAAACAGTGTGGTAATTCTAATTTTATGAAAACAGCCAGAGGAGAAAGACCACAACAGTTTTATTATACAGCCCAGGCCATTTTCTCTCCAGATGACAGAAAACATCATGCTTAAAACAAAACAGTAGCTCCAACCATCATCACTTAAATATGAGGGAATATTCAACAAACTAGGAAGCTAGTTAAATATCTCAAAAGTAAAAGCCTTATTGGAGGTCTTCCCATGTGAATTTAAATCAGTGTACCAAAATAAGCCATCCTCATCCAGTGAAGAGATCCTACAGTTATGACACCACCCTTGGATGAACTGAAAAACACAAGCTTTTTCAACTAATTCTTCATTGTTAAAGAAGAATACGTTTTACATGGGAAAAAGATGACATACACTACTAGTTTCAGATTGCTCTGAAAACTACATAGTTTAGACAATCCTGAAGGGTTAAGTTGCAACAAATGTTCACGACACATATTCCATACAGGTCCTCACCACTTCAAGTAGCCAAATGCCTTCTAAACATGACACAAGACACTGCGAACTACTGTCTATCACCAAGAACAAAGCACGCACACTTTAAACAAAAAACTGCTCTTTTTTTTTTTAATCAAAGGCAGCAGGATCAGAGTAGGACTTTAACATGGGAAGCAAAGTGATGAGGTTGATGAATGCGTTGCCGAGGAGTTTCATCCTACCGTGCCTGCCCTAATTCAGTGACGTTATTTACCTTCCTTACCAATTTCCATGCTAGTGACAGGCATCAGGAAGTTGTTGACCCAGGAAGAAGAGGTTCTTGAGCATTATGGAGCATA